TGGGACCAGGGGCAGGTGGGCCCCAAAGGGACCTCTGACCTGGCTCTGGGAAAGGGGCCCCAGAGCCCACCCAGGGGACAGGAGGAGGCTGGCCACGAGAGGGGAGGAGGACAGGTCCGCCCAGGGGGCAGCGGGCAGTCTCCACGGAAGAGGTGGCCTCGCAGGGGCTCGGGAGGCCAGCCCAGCAGGCAGACGTTCCTGTGGCCAGGCAGGAAAGCCCAATGGCACCGCCGCAGTGACCAGTGCCCAGAGGGCCTGTGGGTGAGCAGAGGCCTGGGCCACGGGCTGGGGTTGGGACAGGGCCTTCGGGAAGACAGCCGGGCTGCCGAGTGGGGCTGGGCAAGGACAGGGCAGTGCCCAGCTCTTCCCCAGGACGTGGCCCCGGCCAGCAGCAGCACAGGTGTCTGCAGGCCCCCACCAGAATGTCCCAGACCTGCCCTGTGTCCAAACCTGAACTCACCTCTCAGCGCAAAACTGAGCGGGGAGTTTGGGGCACGTGGCTCTGGAGCGGCAACAGCCAAGGGTCCCAGCAGTTACTGCCCCGCTCTCCCCGCCAACATCACCCACCAGTCGGAACCTTGTCCAAGCAGGGCTGGGGGCCGCGGGGCCCAGCTGCCCACCTGGCCTGCAGCATCCTCCGGCTGCCTCTGGCCGAGCAGCACGCGACGTCTAACCTCAGGAGCCCTGTAGCAGAGCAGCCCCGAGAGCCTCCATCACCCCCCAAGGGCTCCCCGTCACCCCCCCTGCTCTTTTCCGGAAAATGGGGACCCCGCCTACTCCCAGGGCTGGGTCTGCCCATGACAGGGGGCCCTTGCCCAGCCCTGGCGCTTGGGGTCTCCCCACTCCTGCCCGGTGTCCCGCACCCTCGCCGCACCAGGACCCATCACAGCTCTGCAGGGCCAGGGCTCAAAGCACACCCTCTGCAGCCTTCTCATCCCCAAGCATCTCGCCCTTGTACATCTGACCTTCACCTGGTCCAGGGGTCAGGCTCCTAGCGGGGAGCCCTCCTGCCCCCGCAGCTGACAGCCGCCACCCTGCTGACCACTTCCCCCAGCCGCTTCCACGCGCTCAGCGCAGGTATAAAGCAAGCACCTGCTGCCCCTGCTGGGCCCGCGGGCGGCTCGCAGACACCCTGGCAACAAGGGCCTGGCGAGGGGACACAGGCTGCTCCTTGACGTCCAGAGAGAGGCACCAGCCACCTGCCCAACGCACCCCGACAGGAAGACGTGCCCAACGGCATGGAGGACTCCGACGTGGACGGCCCTGCCTCCCCGAGGCCTCTGGGCAGGTGTGGGGTGTGCAGGGGCTGGCCTGGCCCCCAACCCGCCATGTGCCCCCAGAGCAGCCTGGGCCACGGCCCTGGGACGGCCCCCTCCTGAGAGATGCTTCTTGGTGGGATGCCACCTCCACTCTGAGGACCCCTCCCGGGCCCGGAGGGGACACCATGGGCACCCTGCCTTGTCCAGCCTGGGCTATGGAACGGGCACTTCCACACAAGTGCTCCCGTGCAGTCCCGTGCCGAGCCATCACCACCCCTGGGATGGGCAACTTCCCTCCCGGACGCTGGTGACAAATCCCCCAGAGAGGCTGCAGGGTTTGGCGCTGAGGCCAAAGGCAGGGGCACGTGGTCAGGGACTGGCGGCCTCCCCAAGGGCCAGAGGGCAGGAGGCCTGCTCTCCACAGCAGAGGCCGCCCCTGCCTGCCCAGCCTCCCTGGAACCTGGGGAGGGGACGTAACCCAGCCCTGGCCAATGAGCTGGGACTGGACATCCCTGGGTGGGCCTCTGAGGAGGACTTAAAATGGGAGCAGGGCAGGTTTCCCGGTCCCTCTTGCTGTCTGCCCTCTGCCCCTCCCCCTTTCCCTGGCTGGAATGTGATGTGATGGTTGGGGCACTGGCAGTTGTTTTAGCACAAAGATGAGGAGAGAGTGGAGCCTGGGCTGCTGATGGCACCCTGAAGACCCGGACTGCCTGCTCCCAGATCCTCGCCGTGCAAGGGGCAACTCTCCCCCGTTTTAAACACAATCGGCCACGATGACCTGGGTTTCCTGTTACGAGCGAGCAGCCTGTGGTAGGGACTGGCAGATGACCACGGCACCCCTCCCCTCCTCCTGCGCCTCAGCCAGACAGCATCCCCAGCCTGCTCTGCAGTCATCCGGGGGCCAGTGCAAACCGCCCTTGCGGGCTGCCACCCAGCCTGACGCCTCCAGGACCCCATCCATGCAGATGCAGAGCCAGGAGGAGCCCGTCTGCCCTTGGGGTGTGAGTTCGGCTGGCACGGAGCTGATGCCCCCGTCGCTCACACCTGCCACCGTCCCCCTGCCTCCTCCTCCGGTGGGCCCCAGGCAAGCCCGGACTGGGCTTACGGGACAGTTGTTCCTGCCCTACTGGACACAGCTCCCCGTGTGGAGGGGTCTCCTCTCCCTCTGGTGGGGTGACTCGGGCCGGCCACAGATTAGGCCAGAAAGGGTTGGCTGAATGAGACGGAGCTGGAGGTGGGCCCTGCCAGGGGACGGGGACGAGGGCACATCAGGGAGGCAGAGGGAGGGCTGGCCCGCTCGTCCCCGCAGGAGCCCTGCAGCCAGAGGGCCGACCTGCGCCTGGTTCTCTACATCTCTACATCACTAATCGCTAGCGATTAGACTGCTCCCAACCCAGGAGAGATGCTGACTTGGGAATAACTACCGCTGTGCTAAAAACCAGATGCCGAGGCAGGAGGAGGACGCTGGCGGGGGGCGGCGTCCTGGGGCCCATTCCTCCCGGGGCACCTGAGCCCTGTGCTGTGGCTCGCCTGGTGCTGACCTGAATTGAGGGCGAGGTCAAGGTGTAAGTGAGGATCACGGGGCAGCCAGAAGCTCTGGGTTCCCGAGAGCCCAGCGCCGGCTGTGGGGAGGCTCCCCATCTCCAGGCCTCAGTTTCCCTCTGGAGAGAAGGTCCCAGGACCTCCTCTTCAGGGGGCGGGACCAGGGGGACAGGAGGGACAAGCCTCCAGGCCCAGCAGGAGGCCCTACAACCCAGCAGCCTCTGTGGCACCAGAAGAAACATTTGGATTCAGAAACATCAATACAAGTAATCACAGACTTTCTCCCGAGAATCTTAAAATTAACGATTTCTTAACCTTAAGGAAGACTCAGGAAGCACAAGCCAACGTCAGGAATATGCCTGTCATCACCATTCAACCTACGTTATTTGAACAGCTTTAGAAGAGGCATCACAGGGCGTAGAAGCCGCTGCCGTGCAGCCCCGCCTGCCCCCCACTCTCCCGACCTTGGGAACCCTGAAGGCCTCTCAGCACCATGACCTCAGCCAGGATGCGTCACCAGTGTTATCGCTGCATGAGGAACACGCCAGAAGCAGCACGTCTGGAGTCTGGGCAAACCTGGCTGCGAGTGCCACAGGAACTGACTCCCCAGGGGCCGCGTCTGGGCCTTGCCCCCCTCCCTGCCCCACCCAGCAGATGCCCACTCAAGACAAATGTGGTGACACCCAACGCCAGGCACAAACAGGGTCGGGCCCACCGATGACTCGGTGCGGGTGGGCAGCCACGGGGAACCCCACGCGGGACCCTCTGGACAGAGCCAGGAGCAGACGCGCAGGGTCCTCCGTCAATAACCCTCACGTCCGAGGGCGTGGCCCCCACGCAGGCCACCCTCCATTCCCCAGGGCTCCTAGGCCTTCCACCTCCCACCCGCTGGGCCCTTCCTCCTCTCGGCCGCCCTGAAGCCCGCCCAGCACGGCGCCCAGCACGGCGGTAGAGGAGGGATTTGCTGGGGGCCCCAGCGCGACCCTGAACCTCTACCCAGAACACCGCCACCCACGTCCTCCCTCTCCCAGGGCTCTGCTGCCCCCCAGCCTCCAGGCAAGCAGCAGGCACCCCCTACTGCGTGTATACCAATGTCGCCTCTTCCCTGGGGACCCCGCCCCACCCGCTTCCCCAGAGGGCGGTGCTCGACACTCTCGCACGCAGCCCCTGGTTTCCTGAGCCTCTCACCTGCTGCTCCGGCCGCCGGATGCCACCCCTGGCCCGGACACTCTGCCTCCCCCGCGGCCCCTCAGGGGGCTCCTCCTCCAGCCCCCCACTGCCTCCCACGGGCCCGGCCCAGAGCCCCTCCAAGGCCCTGCCGGATGGGAACCACAGCCCAGGCCCACGAGCCCTGCGAGCCTTCTCTTGCTGTGTGCATTTAAAATGCACACAAAAACCATGGAACCGTTTGTCATTTAATTTTATTACCAGATAGTCCAAGTTCATTCTGCAAAGATTAAAACCACAGACAGGGCTGTGAACGTGGAAGTCTCTCCGGCTCCGAGACCACAGCCAGCAGGCTCCCAGGCTGGCGGGGTCTCTCCCACCCGCCCTCCTGCTTTCACCAACCCACCTGCGCCTGCCTGATGTCAGGGCTCTCTGCTGGGGGGAGGGCGGCGTCCCCACACGCTTGCCACTTCTCAGGCCACTTTCTAGGGCGAGGCCCAAGTCCGCCGCGGGGGACGGCGGCGCCAAGCTGGCACCGCGCCCCCGTCCTCCCTCCCCCCATCCCCCCAAGCTCCTGGCGTCCAGGCGAAGGTCGGGGGCCCTGACCGAGGGCATCTGGAGCAGCGGGCAGAGCCACGCCCAGCCACGGTCAGCCTGGAGCCACTGGAGCACCAGGAAGCTAGAAGGTTTTTCTCTTAAAATAATACACAACGTGCAGTCACTGTTGACAAACTCAGACAAAAGAGAAAAGCGTGAAGAATGCCCACCGAGTGGCCGCACCACCTCCTGGGTGGCCGGCACCGAGCTCCATGGACATCCTGGATTCTTCCAGCACCTTTTTTATTGCAAAAATAAATGGGTAGTCACAACACTGCCATGTCAACTGCCTGTCTCACTTCGGTAAACCCGCCTGTGCCGAGGACAGCAGCCCCGTCGCTTAGAGGCTGGTGGAGCAGGGCGACAATGGCAGAGTTGGCCCCCTGGGCACCTCCTCGTGGGCGTCCCCGGAGCTCAGGCACACCCCGCGCCGCGTCAGGACTGCCCACTGCCCTCCAGCCGCATCTGCTGGGCCAGCTGCCGCCCGATGGCCTGCAGGGGGCTGGCTCTGTAGGCTGGGCTGGCCAGCAGCTCCCGAAACCGCGTCCTTTCCTCCTCACTGAAAGAATGGAGAGCAGAGGTCAGCAAACCCCATGCCCTCGGTGGGGGGCTGGGGATGAGCCATCAGCACCCCCAGGACCAGCCTCGGCTCGGCCAGCCCGCAGGGACACCAGCAAAGGGTGGTCCAGGACCAGGATGAGGGGTGGGGAGTGAGGAAGGCTGTGCGCTGTGAAGTTCTGCTTGGAGCGTCTGGGGGGGCGGGGCGGGCCGAGGTGGGTCTGAGGCCTGACAGGGGCTTTGGGCAGGATGGGAGTGGCTGCCCGGGGGCCTCCTCATGGTCACAAAGGCCCCTCATCCCCGACTGTGACAGGGAGCGGCTATCAAAGGCAGCAGGTGGCAGGCGCCCTGCACACACGAGGCCTCACATAAGCGGCACCTCCAGCAGGAACCGGGCACAGGAGCTCCGGGCCCCACGGCGGCCATGGCGACGGGGGTGCTGCAGTGGGCCCGCCCCTCCGCAGCAGAGTCCCTTGCGGGGCTGCCACTCTGTGCCTGTCCCTACAGCCAGCCGGCCCCCGTCTGGAGCTGCACGGGCCCACAGCCCAGCATGGCCACAGGTGGCCTGGCCAGAACCTCAGGGCAGCAGCTCCAGCACAAGCCCACACGAGCCCATCGTGGCACCATGGTGGGGACGGCCCTGGCCTTGGGCAGGCAAGATGGGGTGGAGGGCCCAGCTGTGCTCTGCCCCCACGGCTATGTGACCGAGGGCAAGGCCAAACCACACTGGGCCCCAGCTTTCTTTGCTGCTAACGGGGAGACTTTGGACTCCACTGGATGACTGACTGCCCGGCCAGATGTCCACACACGCAAGATGCCTAGGATCTGGGCCCCGAGAGCGGCCCCCCGAGAGCCAGCAGCTGCTCCCCTCACTGCCCTGGGGGAAGGGGCTTCCTGGCCCCTGGAGACAGGCTGGGCCCAGAGCTGGCCCTGGCTGAGCCGTCCCCAGCACCTGAGGGACTGGGGTTAGGGGACGCAGCCCGACGCCCGACAGTCCCGGGGGTGGGCCGTGTGGAGGTGGGGCCGTACTCACAGGAGCTGGAACCTCTGCGCTGCGCTCATCCGGCTCAGCTGGGCTGCCCGGGGCCTGATGGCCGCCCTGCTGGGGACACGGAGAAGACAGTCAGGAGAGCACGCGGCCACCTGGAACCTCCGCCAGAGCACCGGACTCAGGCCACGGTCCATGGTGCACACAGGGCCGTCCTCCCGTGCGAGCCTGGGGGCACGTGTGGCCTCACGGCACCACATGGCAGGAGGGACCCAGCAGGGGCAGGAGGGACCCAGCAGGGGCGGGAGGGCCCAGCAAACCAGGAAATCCTGGGCCGACACCTAAATTTAGCCTCCAGACCGGGAGCCCTCATCGTGTATTCAAGTTTCTTGGTAAGTTATGAATGGAAGGCATTTCTTGTCTCCGCTCCCCGGGTCCCGGCCGCTCTGGGGGCGCTCCATCCCGCTCCAGGCCAGCCTCGGTCCCAGGACACTGCAGCCCTGTTCGTCCGACCACTGACACTCTCTGTGTCCACCCGAGAGCAGGTCTCCCGCCAACCACCCAGAGCTCCCGGGAGGCGCCACCCTTGCCGAACCGGTGGGCCCAGGCTCCCTTCCCCCAGCCAGCACCCCCAGGAGGCGGCCACGCGCTGGGGCACCAGGAGGCCTTGGGCCTCCACCCCTGTCTAGCACAAGGTAAGAAGGCTTCCCACAGCCGAGGGCACCAAGGTGTGAACACACACCCAGGAGTCCCCTCGGGGTCCAGGGTCCAGGTGCGGCCAAGCACAGTGCAGTGGGGGCACGGTGGGGGAGCGAGGAAGGGCAGGACCCTCAGCTGAGCCTCAGGACACGTCCAGGGCCTGTCAGGTCACTCACAGGGGGAGGCAGGACCCTCCCCAGTGGTGCTTTCCACTGTGGACAGACGCAGGCGGGGTGGATTCCCCGAGGCCGCGGGCTTGAAAGGAACTGACCCCCAGCACTCACCAGAGGCCCGGGCAAGGGCTTTCACACCCGACGCCGGCCCCGGTCCTGCCCGCCCGCTCTGAAGTCCCCCCGGGGAGGGCCCCAGCTCACTTACGGCGGCCAGGCCTGGCTCTGGCCGCACGGCCGAGTTGGGTGGACAGTGGGTAGAGACCTTCCTGCCAGAACCAACTGCAGCTCAGAGCACACTGCCCGCCGCCTAAGTGCCCACAGAGGTGCCTGGGCTGGAAGAGGACCCTAGCTCTGGCTGCCCTGGGAGGAACCTCAGGGAAGCTGCTCCACCTCGAAGCCTGTTTCCCCAACTGTAACACAGGCCAGTGCGTTCCTGACAGGCTCTCTTCGGCCAGCACTGAGCGCCCAGGTGCACCCAGGTGGCTCCCAGCTTTGAGGCTCTTGTACCACCCCCTGCCCCTCCCCCTCTGACGTGAATGAGCCTGTGTATCACACCCAGCCCAAGGGGACGGGGGCCCAAAACCAAGCACCAGCAGGCGAACCCCGGAGGTCTCAGGGGCCGAGTGAGCCCTGCTGATGTCAGGTCCAGGCTCCATGCGTGAGGCCCTCCACCTTCGTCCGCTACGATCTTCGGGCCACGGAGGACCGACGTCCTGGGGAGTCTAATCTTCCCTGATGAGCACGGCCCATTGGCAGCGGCACTGCCCACTCACTGGCTCTGGCCTCAGGGGCCCCGTGGGCTCTCCAGGGGGCCTTGGTGCCCGGTCAGTGCTGGGCGGCGCCCACCCAGAATGTGGGGAACACCTGGACCCGCTGGGCCCACTCAGAGCCTCGGGCTCTCCCCCCACCACCCTGCAGGGCCACCCAGGTTTGGGACAGGCTGGGAGCAGCCCAGGGCTTCAGTCAGGGTGTCCCAGATGGCGACTGGGGATGGAGGCCTTGCACTCGGGATCTGGGTTCCCAGGCACAAGGCTGCCCCCCAACACATTCCACCCAACTCGGATGCCTGGGGGCATGTCCTGAAGTCGCCTGTCCGCTGGGCCATTCGTGTAACCTACTGCTTTTAACAGGCAGGCACCCCTGGCGTGAGCTGCCCTGAAGGGCACCACCTTCTCCCAGCTCCAGGAAACCCTCCCTTGTGAAGGCACAGAAGAGGCCAAACGCTTTGCGCAGCAAACATCCCAGGGCTGGGTCTGCTCTAGGAGCTGAAAGACTGAGGGTTGATGACATGGGGACCCCAACCTTGTGAACGGGGCTGGGGGCTCCCAGCCAGGCGTCACTTGGCCAGAAGGCCACAGGAATGAAGGGGCCACAGGCAAAGCTGGCCGGCCTGCTTGCCCATGCCCCCCAGGGGTGGAGACTGGTGGGGGTCCCTGCACGTCCTGGGCAAGACCTCTGTGCTGCCCCCACAGGGAGAGAAGACTGGAACACTCCCGGGCCCTCCCCCGGCTGATTTTAATCTGTATTCCTTCTCCGTAATAAACTGTAATGAGTGTAATGGCCTTCTGTGAGAATCATCAAACCTAAGAGTGATCTTAGGGACCCCAGACTTGCGGTCGGCATGAGAAGTGAGGATGGACTTGCAGACTGTTCCCCGAATTTCACAGGAACACACCTGGGTCAGGACACACATGTATGTCCCTGCTATCATCTGAGAGGACCTAGAAGCAACCACACCCCTGCCGCGGTCAGCACAACAGTGCCCAGATCTTGGTTTCTTACACCACTTCCAATGGAAGGGACCCGGGCTCCCTGGAGAAACGTCGACTCTCGGACAGGAGCAGGAAATGCCCGGGATGAGCCTGGAGCACCTTGTGCCAGAGAGGGAGGAAAGTGCTCGGAAACAAAACACAACAGCCTCCACGGATGGGTGTGTCGGGGGAACAGCGGAGCCAACCGAAGGAGCTGCCAAGGACCAGAGCTGGAGCCGGTT